GAAACGTGAGGGGTCGGGATCGGGATCGGGGTTTGGGATCGGGGATTGGGGTTTGGGGTTTGGGGTTTGGGGTTTGGGATTTGGGATTTGGGGGATTTGGGGGATTTTGGATTTGGGGGATTTGGGATTTGGGGTTTGGGGTCTCGGGCAGTGCCGCTCACCCTCCTGCACGTCGTTGTGGCAGAAAACAACCGGGGACGGGGTGGCCTCCAACAGAGCCCTGAGGGACAGAGTGGGGACACTGTGGGGACATGGGGACACCATGGGGACACTGGGGGGACAGTGTGGGGACACTGTGGGGACACCGTGGGGACAGCACAGGGACATGGGGACACCATGGGGACATGGGGACAGTGTGGGGACACTGTGGGGACACCGGGGGGACACTGGGGGGACATGGGGACACCCTGGGGACAGCCGCGGGACACGGGGACATGAGGACACAGGAACAGGGGACCGCAGGGACAGCACAGGGACATGGGGACACTGTGGGGACACCGGGGGGACACTGGGGGGACATGGGGACACCCTGGGGACAGCCGCGGGACACGGGGACATGAGGACACAGGAACAGGGGACCGCAGGGACAGCACAGGGACATGGGGACACTGTGGGGACACCGGGGGGACACTGGGGGGACATGGGGACACCCTGGGGACAGCCGCGGGACACGGGGACATGAGGACACAGGAACAGGGGACCGCAGGGACAGCACAGGGACATGGGGACACTGTGGGGACACCGGGGGGACACTGGGGGGACATGGGGACACCCTGGGGACAGCCGCGGGACACGGGGACATGAGGACACAGGAACAGGGGACCGCAGGGACAGCACAGGGACATGGGGACACTGTGGGGACACCGGGGGGACACTGGGGGGACATGGGGACACCCTGGGGACAGCCGCGGGACACGGGGACATGAGGACACAGGAACAGGGGACCGCAGGGACAGCACAGGGACATGGGGACACTGTGGGGACACCGGGGGGACACTGGGGGGACATGGGGACACCCTGGGGACAGCCGAGGGACACCGTGGGGACACCGTGGGGACACTGTGGGGACATGGGGACACCCTGGGGACAGCCGAGGGACACGGGGACATGAGGACACAGGAACAGGGGACAGCAGGGACAGCACAGGGACAGCAGGGGTGGCACGGGAGGGGACACAAGAGATGGCACAGGGACATGGGGGG